ACCTACCAGATGACCTTAAAATCCTAAAAATGGCCTTATGTCATAGCTAATAGTGAGTTCTGTTAGTTACGCCGTTCCCTATTCGGAAAGGTATTTTGTGTTAACAACGGACACTGAAAACCCTTAAAACACTATTCACTGCATAAAACACTATTCATGGCAATTTTGGGGTTTTCTCTTTGATTGTGTTTTGTTTGGTTATTTTTGTGTGAGATAGGAACTTGCTTTTGTTATGAGAATCAACAAATCTTTCATAACAAAACCAAACCTAAATACTCAAACCCTAAAGAAATAATCAAAATTGCATCATACCTAAATAACTTGATAAGTTTCTTCAACAAATAGAATTTATCATGTAATCTGTTTATAATGGCACAAGATAACACGTAATTGTTGTAAGTTGTAGGTAATCTCTTGCTACAAAGGTGTGATACTTAATTAAGGAAGCTTGCATCTGTTATTTGTTAGTTTTGTGAATTAAAGATAAATTGAAAAACTGTTTTCTCTTAACAAATTGAGAATCGATTTTCTTGGAAAATACTTTTACTTTATTTTGCATACAGCATTGAATCCTTCCTCATCAATTTCTCAAAAGATGGAAGTTCGATTTTAAAGATATTCTCAGAATGAATGAGATCAATTATGATCTCACTCATGATTATATTTAATTCACGTTGGGTGTTTTCGTTTATGTATCTTGTAGTACGGCTCCAAAAGTTAAGAAAAAGGAGAAGCATCTGGTGTTTAGGTGCCACTAGTGTCAACTTATCACGAATGGAATTCTAGTAAAGAATATAATGGAGCTAATTAAAAAGCAAAACGAAGATGAATTGGAGCAAAAAAGGGTTAAGGCTTAAAGACGTCGTCGACTTTATGAATGACCGATAAAGATGTTCACAACTAGAAGGGGTAGTCTTAGGATCGCCGTAAAGTTTTGGATGTTCATGGGAAATGGAGCAAGTAGATGTGGAAACCATTGGAGTAGTTAACTTGAAGTTGGATTCAAGATTTATTTTAGAGTTGGATGATGTAGGTTTAGTATCCTAAATGAAGAGGAATTTATTTTCTATTTCAAGATTATCGAGACTTGGTTTTGTTGTTGAATTCAATAAAGATGGTTTAACATTATCTCAAAATTCTATTGTTCTTACTACTAGTTTTCTTTCAAATGGATTATATTGTCTCAATTACAATGAAGATGGTGAAGTCTTAATGGCTAAATCGAGTGAGAAAAAGATTAGAAGTGAAGGAACATCCACTTGGTTATAGCATAGACGTTTATGGCACATTTCAACAAAAAGAATGAAAATTCTTGTTAAAGAACAAGTTTTGCCACCACTAATTTTCAGTGATGACGAGATTTGTATTGAATGTGTTAAAGAAAAACTCACTAAGACTAAAAAGAAAGGTGCAACTCGCAATAGTGATCTTTTGGAGATCATCCACACAGATTTTTGTGGACCATTCCCTCATCAAACAATTGATGGAAATCGGTACTTCATCACCTTTATAGATGACCATTCTCGTTTTGGTTATCTATTTGAGATGTTCAAAAAATTTCAAACTGAAGTTGAAAGGCAACTTGAGAAAAATATCAAAATTGTGAGGTCAGACAAAGAGGGTGAATATTATGGATGTTTTGATGAAGGAGGATGATGTGCTGGACTTTTTGTAAGATATCTACAAGATAATGGAATAACTGCTCAGTACCTAACACCAGGAACTCCACAACAGAATGGTGTGACTGGGAGAAGAAATCGGAGACTTTGAAGGACATGGTTCGCAACATGATTTCCAAAACTGATTTGCATATGCATCTGTGGGGAGAGGTGATCAAAACAACAAACTATATACTTAATAGAGTGCCTAACAAGTCCATGCCTAAGACACATTTCAAAATTTGGACTACCAAAAAGCCTAGCTTGTGACATCTTCATGTATGGGGTTGCAAGGCTGAAGCTATAATCTATAACCCTCAGGAGAAGAAGATTGATCCTAAAACGATTAGCTTCTATTTTATTGATTATCCTACAAGGTCAAAGGGTTTTAGATTTATTGTCCAAATTATGGTACTCGAATTGTTGAGACTGGTTGTGCAAAGTTTATAGAGCATGAGGAGAATGCCACTGGGAATGAAGATTTTATTTTCGAAGAAAGAAGTGATGTAGCTGTGATCGAGAATGATGAACAAGATGTTACACCCTTGATTCCTTTATGTGAAACTGTATTGGAACCTTCTCAGTTTGAAGAACCAGTTTATAAATAAGAACAAGCTGTTGAAAATCTTGACCTAGATAATCCACAATAACCAGTGCAACTGAGGAGATTTGATAGACTAAGAAGATCCACAGCAAATTCGTATTATGTGTACTTATAGGAAGTAGATTTTGACATTGGAGATTAGGCTGATCCAACAAGTTTTAAAGAAGCTATGGAGATTCATAATGCAAAAAAATGGAGGGAAGCAATGTTGAATGAACTCGAAAGTATGAAGCAGAATCAAGCATGGGAATTAGTTGAACTTCACAAGAGCCAGAAATTGGTAGTCTGGAAATGGGTATTTAAAACAAAGAAGGTTAAGGATGGAAAAATTGAAAGATTTAAGGCTAGATTGGTAGAAAAAGGATTTACTCAAAAGGAGGGAATTGACTAAATTGAGATATTTTCTCTAGTTTCCACCGAAGATTCTTTCCACATAATTATGGCTTGGGTGACACATTATGACTTACTTTTACATCAAATGGATGTAAAAACTACCTTCTTGAATGGTGAACTTGAAGAAGCAAATTTTATGAGGCAACCTGAGGGGTTTGTAAAGGAGAGAAAAGAGCATATAGTTTGCAAACTTGACAAGGTAATTTATGGACTAAAGCAAGCAAGCAGAAGGTGGTATTTGTAATTCCATCAAACTGTCTCATCCTATGGTTTTGAAGATAACATAGCCGATCAATGCATTATCTAAAGAAGTGTGGGAGACATTTTATTTTTTAGTTGTTGTATGTCGATGATATACTTTTGGCTACAAATAATCACAATTCATCGAATGACACTAAGAAACTACTTTCAAATAATTTTGAGATCAAGTATTTGGGAGAAGCTATTTTTTTGTATTAGGCATTGAAATTCAAAGAGACCGAGCTCGAGGTCTGCTAGGCTTGTCACAGAAACATTGAAAGAGTACTCAAACGTTTTGACTTGAGAATGTGTTCTAGACAGAAAGTGCCATTGGTTAAAGGAGATTTAAAGAAAGAGCATTGCCCCAAGAATAAAGAAGAAGAAGATGAGATGAAGAACAAGCCGTATGCTTCTCTAGTTGGAAGCATTATGTATGCACAAATATGTAAAAGCCCAGACCTAGCCTTGTGCGTCAGCAAGATAAGGAGATTTCAGTCAAATCCGAGAATGCAATATTGGATAGCTGGAAAGAAGATTCTAAGGTACCTACATAGAACAAAGGCTTATATGTTGATTTTCATATGCACAGAGAATTTGGAGCTTGTTGGCTATGCTAATGCGAATATTGGAAAAGCAGAGGATGATTACATCTCTACTTCATGTTTTCTTTTCAAGATGGCAGGAGCATTTGTTGCTTGGAAGAGTGCTAAACAATCTGATGTTTTGAGTTCAACCATGTTTTCAAAATACATAGCTTGTTATGAAGCCACTTCTCATGCAGTATGGCTAAGGAATTTTATTAAAGACATTAAGGTGGTGGACTCAATTTCAAGACCAGTACAGATATACAATGACAACACTACGACAGTTTTTCACAACACAAACAACAAGATGTCGTTTGGACTTCAGCATATTGACAGAAAATATTTAATAGTGAGGGAGAATGTAGTGGACAAACTAGTCAAGTTTGATCATATCAGAACTCAAGATATGATTGCAAATCTGTTCACAAAGTTTCTGCCTTCAGAAGCTTTTCTAAGATATGTTGAGAGCATGAGATTATTTCCTAGCTTTGATGCTGCAATCTAGTGGGAGTTTTTGTTTTCCATTCTGATAGTTTTCTAGTATGTCTAATTTTGCTGTTTTCTAGACTAAGTCATAGAGGGGTATGTGTCCTGAAAAGCATAAAGATTCATATCAAAGATCAGTACATGTTAAGGTTTGCGTTTGTAGGTGCTTTATGTGTTTTGAGATTGTATTATGTGATTATAGATGACATGTTTTACTAAAGGAGAGTAGTGCTTGTCTTTAGTTCATTTTGTCTAATCGCTTTTCACTGTAGCTTAAAGGGAAGGACATAACAATTTTAAACTCATGGCCAATAAAGATTATCAAACTTGCAATACAGAAGCTTAGTGTTCTAGTGCTTGATCTAGTGGAAGAATGTTATATTCCTTTTAGATCAGTGCACTAGATACTAAGTTTTATCAAGTTTGATAGGAGTTTAAAGTAAGTATACCTTGGGCCCCAAGACTTTGTGAAATGAGAAAAGTAGCCAATTAAAAAGGTCCTATTTATTTCCTTTTGCATGAATCGTTGCTTGATGGGCTTAGAGTGTTAGTCAAGTCGGCCCTCGGTGATGAGTAGAGACGACTTGACCTAGCCCTATATAAGTGTAAGACACTGCTCTAATCAGATATGTTCTCTAACCCTGATCTCATCATAAAGAAATAGCTGAAACAGTTTCTTAGAGAGAGCAGAAGTCTTAAGCCATTCGTGCCTTTGCTCGTGCTGCTACTGCTGCGATTGGATGAATCCAGAGATCTTGTACTCAAGGAAGATGACGCCAGGTATGTCTTTTATATATTTCAGGATGTGTGAAAGATCATGAACATATATAGAAAATCTAACACTTCTATGAAGATGCTATAGTTAGTCTAAATTTGGTATGTATAATGTATGAAATGAATAACCTTATCAATGTCATTTACAATGGTGCCAATCAAGCTAAGGAAATCTGTACCTCAATGTGCCTCAAATGAAGAAATAATAGTCCTAACCAAAAACAGAAAATTAAAATTTGGCAAAAAAAGAGAGACCAAATCTGCTCCACAGTGAGCAGCTACAAACAAACTGCCAGACTGCTGTAAAACTGCTTGTATGATCTTGCTGAACTCATGAAAAACCTACAGAATCGCTTGCAACGTATTGTCAAACAAAGAATGGTAAGAGACCTATTGCACAATATGTGCAATGAGCTAATCTCATCCCTGAGAAACAATCCTGTCATGTAGGCCAAACGCCTATAGGTACTACAAGAATGGGAAAATGTAAATGACTGATATCTGAACAAGGAAAGCCACCATGCTTATCGGTACGAGTTTGAAAGGTTCGCTGCATGCTGAACTGCTAACGTTTATGGACCCTGCATTAACAGATGCAGTTCCTCTGCTAGTATTTGTAGAGACATTGACTGACGTTGAACCTGAGAAAAACATTCATACACATACAATCAGAATGCAGGATAGAAACTCCATTGTTTTTCTCCTGTTTTTTTTCTACTTTTTTTGTAGTTTTCAAATATAATTTTCGTGGTTGGAGAATTGTGTGATGAACTTGGAATAAGAAATAACTAATATCCCTACTTACAGTCATATTGAGTCCAACCAATCCGTTGATTGGCCAAATCATAGACAATGATTTTGTCTTTCAGGATGAGGTCTGCGAAAGAGGACGACAATTGATGTAAGTGTTCTTTTTGTGAAAAGAGAACTCAATAACAAAACACAAAACTAAATAAGCAAATAAGAAAATGTACTACTGAAGTAAGCCATTAAAAAGAATTTGATAAGAGAAATGATGACTGATCATCAAAATTTTAGCCTGTTAGAGAATTGTGTTTGAACAAACTTAACTTAATAAATTTGAATTTATTTATCATACCTCCCAATACAGTTATATCTTGACCGTCATTTTTCTGGATGCCAATGCACCATACTTCATCACCACTCTGGAACAAAGAGAAGAAAAAAAAAATTCCCTATTTCAGTTGAAGATGCAGGACTTAAATAAAATAAAAAGTTACACAGTTATAGGATAAAACTTGATTTCATTAGAGAAGGGTAAAGCTTGTTCGAATGATGTGCAGTTTGCAAAACTTTGAAACAGAAACCGCAGCCAAGGAAGAGACATCTAAGAACATACTATAATTGGAAAATGAACCATATTTCTGTAGATGGAACATTCTTAGCGATTCCTACAGCCTAATGCAAGCTAGTCCTGCTTAAAATGATTTAGCTGTCAAAGTCTGTCTATTTTGAAGGAAACCAAACAAAAGTTGACAGAATCCGGAACATATTGTTTCTCCCACACTAATATGGTGTAGCTGAAATGTTTAGCTAGCTCCATGCTTTAATCTTATCATACATTCTTTCTAATCGGCTTCGAGGCATTTGTTTTACGCATTAGCATTACAAATGTTTGGGAAATTGCATTAGGTTATGTGATTGGAGAGGTACACTACATTGAATTGTGATTGCCAGTTCAATTACTTAAAAAAATAGAAGACAGTCTACGGAAAGCCAAACTAGCTTAAAGAGTAGACAGAAGCAAATTGTACAACAAAAGAAGTTGTTCATCACAATTTCGGACTAAATGAAAACATCTGCACAAGCTTTTAACACTTGAAAATCAGGGGAAGAAATAAATAAAAAGTACAGAAACTCACAACAGTATTCTGCTGCAAAAGGTAGTCCTCCGGTCTTAGAATCAGGGATGCATTACCAGCAAAGTTCAAGTTAACTTGAGGAAATATACCAGTGATGCTGAAGGGAGAAAAACACACTTTAAGAATTACAATTGAGCTGAAATATTAGCAGTCCTCAAACGTTGAATCAACTGAGATAAAATATTCAAAATGTGAACCTGGATGTGACTATGTAGCATTGTTCTCCCTGGGAGGTAACAGGGGTCACGGATTGTGAGACAGCGCTTGTTATCTGCAAAGAAACAAAATAACATGTTATTCACCTTTTGTTTCACTTCCTTAGCCATCTATTAAAATCAAACAACAATCCAGCTTTAATTTTCCCCCAAGACTTAATTCAGTTTGAAAGTACAAAAACTAAAAGTAGAGATCGAGAATCACCAGAAATTAAATAGATCAGTTAAACAGTAAAGTATTTTTTAAACAGAAAATTACAGCATTGACAAAAGGATCATATGCATCTTCTGCAAGGTATGCCAAAGTTGTCCCAGAATCAACTATTGTTCCTTGGTTGCTTGATGTTGAAAAAACTGATGGATCAATGGCTAGCGTTTGGCCGTTAACACTAATGCTCTCCAGATTTAAGTTATAATGAGGCCTGAAATTCCGAGCATCCCAGTAGATATAGTTAAAGTTACAGCAGCCAAGCTTTATATGATTAAAAAATCTTATGCCTTACAAAATGAATAGGGAAAAGATAGCATAACATCCAACATTTCAAAATAGAATTGAGAGAGGGCCAAGCTTTTGCTGCAATTAAGAGCTACTTCACATGTTAAGATCTTCAAGTAGTTCCTCAGGGCTCTATTTATCTCTCTATGGAATTTTTTCCAAAATATAATTATTTTTCACCCTCCACTGAAATGTATTCAATTAAACGGTACTGTTCTGGCAACATGAGTAGTTAAGTCATAAATTTCAAACTAGAAAATAGCTATGGGTTACAACCTAAAAAAGAGATGTCTGCAATGATGCATGCGAATATAACTGTTAGTCATGCTGTAGAGCTCACTATAGTTCCATTTAGTTTCACAAAATATAAAATGATATACTTGTACTGCTTTACACATACTGATTTTGGACAAGCGGGCTATAAACGATGTTAGGATCCACGATCTCACCAAGAACCAGTATCCCCCCACCAGTGTCATCTCCTTTGAAGCAGTGAGAAAATACTTTTGGCGCTACTCCCTGTGAAGACAGCTGTGAGATGACAGATAATTCCTGCTGTCCCGCTCCCTCGTATATTTTTCTGATTTCCCCTTCCAATTGACTCTTCAAGTTATTTCCTTATTCATATAGCTCTGTTATTCCATGTAGTAAAAGTGGAAATGTTCCAGAAAGAGAAAAAGCCAGCCATCGTTTTCTGGATATTGACTTCTTTCATATTCTATTTTTTGAATTTTAAAGAAATCAGAAAACAAGAATTAGTAACGAAAATATGAAGATTTATTTTGGGGCTAGGTGCTTTAATGATATTTTTGGGTGAATTTAGAAGCCCTCTTTTATTGTGTTAGCCGAAATTGATTCACTGCATTTGGATCTCAAACTTTTAGCTCAAACCCAACTTGAGAATAGTCATCCAATCCAACGCCCTGATTTACCCAAAAGTCCAGATATAATTTTTTATACTAGCGATATTGCGAGATTGGGGAATCGAAAAAAAAAACCTAAAGTATAACTGTGGATGCTCTTACCCTCTTAAGTTGTAAGCTCTTTGCAAGTCCAGATTTAAAGTGGCTATATTTTTGCCTAATTATGGACGAACCAGATAACCAACCCCCTGCCATTATCAGCCAAAAAGATGAGGGTTGTGGTATGTAACAGAGCAAGAAGAAGATGATGAAACAACCATGATCGCAAACTGTGAACTGCATATTTGTTTTCAGGTGTCTTCTTTCTCATTTAATTTGTTGTTCGTTGGATTAACAAAAGATAAAGGAAAATGCAGCTTCAGTGAATGAATTCGATGATGTTTAAAAAGCTTCAAATGTATGGTGCTCTTGCTGATTGTGTTTGGGCATGGATTACAAATGCATATTAAAAGCAAGAAATAAAAAGACAAGATTAATAAACAACTGCATGATTGCACATGTAAGTTAGTAAAATATTGCCATGGATTCCCCAAAGAAAAAATAACTTTATGATTGACGAATTACACTTTGGTCTAGTGATAGTTGTCTCAATTTGACGAAAAAGAAAAGCTATATATTTGTCACGATTTAAACTCTCTTTATGACCAGCCTTATTATGATGACTTAGCTTTGTTGTGTGTTACTCTTGCTTTAAAAATTTCTTATCTTTATTTTTTTTTCAAAATTTCATGATTGCAATGTGTAAACAAATCTTCGAGTTAGATTGTTGTCATTGCCCTCTGTGTGGATCACGTGTTATCTTATAATACATGATTAACCAAAATAAAAACACAGCTGTTTGTTGGCTCAGATAATATTATTCTAGTTCAAACTGGGCTCAAGCTTGAACGAAGATCATAGACTTGGGCTCATCTTCGATTCAAATGATTTTTTCAACTAGCACTAGTACACCAACTAGCTCAGATAATATATGTTGCTCTTGAATTGTATCGAGACGATTTATAGACCTACAAAATAAGCATCCTGCACAATAAAGGATAGAAGAGAGAAGAGTACACGATGACTATTTTGAAGTGCTAAAAACAATCCGAAATAAGCAATATATAAAATTTGACACAGAGTGGAGTTTCTTCATAAACTGTATTAAAACATACTAAATATCTCAAAAGAGCCAAAGGCCAAAGTGCACTTGAAAAAACTAGAATACCATTTAGTTTTTAGTTAGTCGTATTTCTCTTCCCAACGTTGAAAAAAATAACTAGTTTTTAGAAGAAATGTAGTGTCTGTGGTTGAATTTTTATAAAAGTATTAGGAACAACTTATATTGAACTTATGTGTGCATCTTTACCGCTTATGAACTATGGTGACATTTTGTTTGTCTTTGTTCTAGCTATTTTCCGGTCCTGATTCGCATAATGGAGTTATTCTGGGATTCGTAGTTGGGACGGTGATGGAATACATTTTGAAGCTTAAACCTGTATATTTGTTTACACTTTGTTACTAATATCTCTACTGGTATTTTGGAAACAGGTGAAGCTTCTGTATTTTCTTGGCTTGTACGTAAGGGTTATAGTGTTCTAGGCCATCTCCAATCATAAGACTAAATGTAGTCAAGGGCTAAAAATTTAGCCCTTTAAAATATTATTTTTTAAAGAATAGTGCAGGACTAAATTTTTCCATCTCCAGCCATACATGGCTATATTTTAGGGTCCTTCTTATTTTATTATTTTGAGAAAAACTATAGTACAACACTCACACATTCTACAACTATGTATTTGTTTAATTTAATTAACTACTATTTAGAGACAATATTCCAAATATGACACGTATATGTTTTATATATATTTTTAAACAAAACGAATTTAAAACATTTAAAAAGGTTTTCAATATGAAAAGAAAATAACTTTCAATCAATGATTCTGACCTCCAACGGTTAGAAACCAATTATATATATATATATATATATTTTTAAAAACAAAATGAATTTAAAAACATTTAAAAAGGTTATTAAAAATAAAATAAAAAACCTAACAGCTAGCTGACGTTAACGCACCTTTAATATTAGCTGTTGGATCTGCAATTGCACGAGATATTTCGTGCTCTTACCCACACGTGATACTCTCGCTTCTTGGAAAACACATGCCCTGGGCCCACAAAAAAAATTTGGTCTAGACCAAAGTTGGGCTACATTTGGCCTAGTTGGAGGGCTAAAAGGCCAAATGCCAAATGTAGCCCTCCAAATTTAGCCAAAATTTTTTTTAGCCCATGGCTGAAGATGAGTTTTGTATTATTTTAGGTATATATTTGGCCTATAGCCCATGACTGGAGATGGCCTAACCAAGCTACTTGTAGCCCAGTGTTGGCTTAGGCCAAATTGTTTTGTGGGCCTAACAATGTGCTTTCCAAGAAGAAAAAGTACTATGCATGGGCAAGAGCACGAAACATTTCGTGCATCTGGATATCCAATAGCCAATATTAAAGGCACAACTAGCTGTCAGTTTTTTTTATAAATATTTTCAAATCCGTTTTGTTTAAATATATATATATAATTGGTTTCTAACCGTTGGAGGTCAGAATCATTGATTGAAAGTTATTTTCTTTTCATATTGAAAACCTTTTTAAATGTTTTAAATTCGTTTTGTTTAAAAATATATATAAAACGTATACGTGTCATATTTGGAATATTGTCTCTAAATAGTAGTTAATTAAAGGGAGTTTCACTAAAACACCCAAAATGGAGGTTGAAATTATAAAAAAACCCAACACCCAAAACACTTTATAAACACACCCAAAACTCATCATTACACACACTCAAAACTCATTTATAAACACACCCAAAAAGTTGACTTTGGAGTTGATTTTGGGTGTGTTTCTATGTTTCAATAGTGCTTGGGTTTTTTTATAAATACATGTCTAGGATTGGGTTTATTTATAAATTTGTAATAATTAAATTAAACAATACATAGTTGTGTATGAGTGTTGTACCATAGTTTTTCTCAAAATAATAAAATATGAAGGTCCCTAAAATATAGTTGTGCATGGCTGGAGATGGAAAAATTTAACCCTATACAATTCTTTAAAAAATTAATATTTTGAAGGGCTAAATTTATAGCCTTAGACTACATTTAGTCCTATGACTGGAGATGGCCTTCGGAGGTATGAATATGGAGTATGGTTGGAGTTGTATTTTTTCAAATACTTCTTAAAATTTGTTTAAGGAGGTGGTTTAAGAAGCCTATTGTGAATGCTCTTACAAAGGTATTAGAGTCTGAATCAAAGGGGCACAACACATACAATTAAATTTGGAAGGTTTATTTTTGGGTAAACTACAGTAAACCCCTCAACCTATAAGGTCATTTATGAGTTCATACCAAATTTTGGTCATTTACGAGTACATATTCAACGTCATGGAAAACCTACAATTTGCCCCCTCCATTAGCGAGATCGTCAAAAAATCCGTTATCTGCCTATGTGGCATTTATGAGACTCATTTTTTAATTGACGTAGACTTACATGTGAACAAATAAATAATAAAAAATTATATACATGTTAAAAATAATTTTTAAATTATATTAAAATCATTAAAAATGAAAATAAAAAATAAAATCTCCACTCTCTTCTCCAACCGACTCAACCTCTCAGCCACCCCACTCCTATCGACGACCCCCAAACCCAACTCTCTTTCTCCCTCCTCATAAGATTCCAATACCTCAAAATTAAACCACCATTGCACAATCAACTTTGCCTAGAAAGAGAATAATTCTCAAACAACAAAAACATATCTTTGGTTGGTAGGGAACTAGTCTAGGAGCAATTTCGGAATCTACAACTGAGGGTTCACCTGCTTTTCCATGGCAATTTGCCACAATCCAGTAGATGGGTTTAATTTCATTGAAGAAATTCTCCACTAATTGGAAATAACTTGTCTTATTAGGCACTTTTCTGTTTTGAATTTTCACAAGAAAACATCGGGAAAGCCCTATATCTAGCTTGGTCGCGACCTCCATTTTCTCCAATGCTTCATCGTCGGCTTTCGGCATCGAGTGAATGGCAACTCCTGGATTTTCAAGGATGGCAGCGACTGGAGATTTTCCAGCTTCCTTGTCGGCAAAATTTCAGTGGCTGTGGACGGTGCGAGCCCTTAGGCTTGGAAGTTGAAGACCCCTTGTCCCGGTGGTATGCGACGTCAACGTTGGAGTCTGAATCGGCAAGGAGCAGCTCCACGGTTTGTGGTTGGGGGAGGCGTGGCTGTTGGGTTTGGGTTTGGTGGTACAGGTGGATCAGAAGGAGGAGGGTTTGGTGGTAAAGGCTATGGAGGAAGAGAGAGATAGAGAGAGAGAGAGAGTTCTGGGTCAGGTTCAGAGAGAGACAGATTTTCTAAAATAATTCTAAAATCATTTTTTATTAATTTTTAGTCCACATGGAAGTCAACGTCATTTAAAAAAGAGGTCCCAGTTTTGATACGTCAGTATTTAACAGACTAATTAACAGTTTGGCTAACGGAGGGAGTAAATTGTAGGTTTTTCGCGACGTTGAGTATGTACTCATAAATATCTCCAAAATCGGGTATAAACTCGTAAATGACCCTATAGGTTGGGAAGTTTACTGTAGTTTACCATTTATTTATTTTTTGGGAATTTTAGTGCATTTTGACTACTTTTCCCTTAGAGAGGTGAATAGTGACATTTTGGTTGACTCTTTTTTTTTTTTTTTTTTTTTTTTTTGGCAAAAAAAATTTTAAAGGAAGATTGGCTATTCTTACCACCACCCAAAAAAAGGGGAATTCTTTACCCCC